AAAAATTGCAAATATGAACCAGAATATGTCAAATAAGTGTTGGAAATGTAAAAGCCATGAAGGCTCATTTTATCACATGTGGTGGACTTGTGAGAAAGCTGTTGACTTTTGGACAAAAGTCCACAAAGAAATGCAAAAAATACTGAAATGCTCTTTCAAAAAGGTGCCGGAAATTCTGCTTTTGGGACTGAAAATGGAAGAAGTCAATACAACTAAAAAGACTTTATTCTGGTACTTAATCACAACAGCGAGAATGATTTATGCACAATTTTGGAAAACAGAGAAAGTGCCAGAAATTGAAGACTGGATACAAAAAGTTCTGTTCATGGCAGAGATGGACAAAATTACGAAGAAGTTGAATAATAAAGAAGATGACGTGTTTTTTCAAGAATGGAGTGACTTTAAAACATATCTGGAAAAGAACTGGGATGTGAAACAAAACTTAATATGTTTAGATCAATATTAAGTCAAATGATGTTATCTTTAGACTGTAACGATAAGAAATTGATATAGCTGATGATATGAAGCAATTTGGAGCAGGGGGGGAAGCATTGCGGGAAGCCACCGGAGGGAGGGGAGGAATTGGGAATGGGGTAGACAATTGATAGAATGAAATGATTTAATTCTATATGTTGTATTCCTGAGAAAATAAAATTTGTTTACCAAAAATACAAAAAAAAAAAAAAGAAAGTGAAAAGTTCTTACCCAAAATATTTATCCAAATTTTTCAATGAACGCTGCAAAATGTCTCTCTTAGTGAGCTCAAAGCTTCCTCCAAAGTGAAAAGCACGCTAAGTCTCTCCTTAACCTTGCATAGTTAAGGAGAGACCAGGTGGGAGGAAGACTGAGCACTTATTCAAAATAGACTTAAAGGAGTCCTCCCTCACCTGCTCTGCCTGCCGCTTATCCTCTGCCCGACTCAGGAGGAAGCCCTCGGCCAGGGACATCGCCTGGGAACTGGTCTCCGGCCCGCAGCCTCTGACCCAGCGCTGCATTTCCTCGGGCAGGACGGCCAGGAACTGCTCCAGGATCACCAGGTCCACGATCTGCTTCTTGGAGTGCCTCTCTGGCTCCAGCCAGCGCTTGCAGAGTCCGTGGAGCTGGCTGCAAACCTCTCGGGGCCCAGCAGCCTCCTGGTAGCAGAACTGCCGGAAACGCTGGCGATGCTCCTCTGGGATCCCAGCATCCTGAGGCAGGACCTCTGGCACCACTGTTTCCCAGAGTTCAGCACCACTCCCCCCCGCCTGGATGGGAGGGGGGTCTTTCCCTGCTCTCTTGTCGATTCCTGGTCCTTCTGGGTCCTGCTCTTCCATCTCCTTCCCCTTCTCTTGGGCTGCCTCTGATTGCAAAAAAAAAAAATGTCTTTACTTACTTGGTATGAAGAGGGAGAGGGGAATATATCAGAAAGACAGAAAGGAACGTAAAGAAGATGGAGCAACATCACCAACCCTGGACAAGAAGACACACCCAGGATTGCTCTGCAGAATCGGAGGGAGGGGCCTTGTCGTGGTTTGCAGATCAGGGTTCACGTCCTTGTGCTACATTAACTATTGGGACTGGTATGAACTATTGCAGACATCTCCTAAGAAGACCCACCTTAGGCTCCAGATCCTGATGGCACACGGTTCTTAAGAAGGTGAGATAGTCGATCTACTAACAGGAAGATGTAACCTATCATGAAATCCAGCCACTGTACCACAAGACTGGAGAGTAGCAAATGTTACACCAGTTTTTTAAATGGCATCCAGAGGAGAAACAGGAAATTACAGGCCAGTCAGCCTCACATCTGTCCCAGGCATATTTAGTAGACTCTGTAATCAAAGACAGAATTGTTAGGCACACAGGAGGACAAAGCCCGCTGAGGGAAAACCAGCACAGCTTCTGCACAGGGATGTCCTGCCACAACAGAGGGTGGACAAAGACAACACCTTCTTCCTGTCTCAAAATGCGAAAACTGGAGGACATCCGTTGAAGCTGATGGGCAGTAGGTTCAGGACAGGTGGAAGGAAATACTTCTTTACAGAGAGAGTGTTTAAAATGTGGAGTTGGCTGCCAGAGGATGCAGTCATGGCCACAGGAATAAACAGCTTTCACAGGGGACTAGATACATTCATAAGTCTAGCTACCAGCAGCCCTGGTGACTGAGTGGAACCTCCACATTCAGAGGCGCTAAAGCTTAGTGCCTCTGAATCCCAGAGCAAGGAGGCAGCATCGGGGGAAGGCCTCTCTGCCCTCTTGTTGGCCCTCCAGAGAACTGGTTTGGCCACTGTGGGAGACAGGAGGCTGGACCAGATGGACTATTGGTCCGATCCAGCAGTGTTCTTCTCATGTTCCTACTAGAGGGGTCCTGTCGCTGAGGCCGTGATCCTCACAGTGGTGTGTTTCCAGGTGCCCTTTGTCCCTCCTGTGGGGGGGGGGGGGGGGTGGGCATGGCTCTCTGCCTGTCACGGGGAAGTTGCCTTGTGCTGAGGACTCATGGGCACTGGTGGTGTTTCCATGGATTCCAGTGGCATTGCTAGGCTCTCTGCGCCTTGGCAACTGGTCTTTTTAAAATAAAAAATCCCCTCTCCTCTGCTGGGGGCCCTCGGATACCCCCTAGCAGCCCTGGCCCCACGCTGGCACTGTGTCATGGTCTTCGGATGGGGCTGTGCTTGATTCCCATTCAGGTAGGAGTTCCCCCCCCCCCCAAAAAAAAATAAACCAACACACCCATGCAACGACCTTTTTCACTTACAGACCTAATTCAGGCTCTTTGCCTCCCCCCACAGAACTGAAATCACAAGCAACAGAACTCCAGTTTCATACATTTTTCCTTGCACTTAAAGCCACTGATTCACTTCGGTGGGAAGGGAACAGCGTTCCGTGCGCCCTGGTGTTTAGTCATGCCGGCCACATGACCACGGAAACGTCTTCGGACAGCGCTGGCTCTTCGGCTTCGAAACGGAGATGAGCACCGCAACCCTCGAGTCGGATTCGACTGGCTTTCGAGCAAGGGAGACCTTAACTTTTTTATCCCTCCCTCCCAACCAAGTCCCAGTGACACAGCGGAGCAAAACTGATGCCTAATAGGGTTGCCAGCCTCCAGGTGAGGCCTGGAGTTCTCCCAGGATTATAGCTGATCGTCAAAGTGCAGAGATCAGTCTCCCCCCTCCCCTCTAAGAAAAATGCCTGCGCTGGAGGGTAAGCTCTGTGGTCTTCTCCTCCACTCCGCTCCCCCCCCCCCCACTTTCCGAATTTCCCATCGCGGACTGGAACGACCCTCCGGCTTGACAGCAGCAGCGTCTCTTTTTTATGCAGAATTAAAACGACCAGCAATTGAACGCCAGATTCATGCATTGAATGTTCTTGTATTTAAAGACAGTGATTATCCTCCACCACCACCACCCCGCAAAAAAACACACACACAAAAAAAACTCATTTACAGAGTGGAGAAAACCCGGTGCTGAAACAGCCGCTTTCCTCCCTTCTTCCAAGATCTAAGACCTTATTCTCCCCCATCCCACATTGACTTACTTGCGAGGAAGCCTTCCCCGGATCCGGTGCGAAGAGGCTTTTCCCTGCTGCTGCTGCACGTCTGAAGCTCTTCCCCTCTTCGGCCGTTCAGAAACTGCCCCCCCCCAACAAGCGGAAGAGCCTTTCTTCTCCCCCCCCCCGCCTTGCTCGGCTCCTCTAGCAAACCGCTTCGTCCCTTTAACCCCCGCAACGCTGGACAAAAATGTATTTAATCCTTCCCCTCCTCTTCCCCGCTCCCAGGTCCAGACGGACGGGCCGGTCTTCAGCCACAGCGACGCCCTCTGCGGCTCAGTGGCGCTCCTCGGGGAGCAATCCTGCCCTGGGTTGCCCAGCCGGAGTCGCGCCCCCCCCCCACCTGCCTTGTTCATTGAACCTCTCCTCTCTTGGATGTGGATGGTCCTGACCAATGTTCCCTCTAAGCTGTGGAGCCTTGTGAGCAAAAATTCTTCTTTGTGAGCTACTGGCATTAGAGTTGTGAGCAGGTGATTTGGCTACTGCATAATCAGTCTGCTCTGGAGCCCTCCTTCCTGAGCCAAGACAAAAATGTGTGAGCTGGAGGCTAAAAAACTGTGAGCCAGCTCACACTAACTCAGCTTAGAGGGAACATTGTAAACTCCTCACTCTCTCTGCAGCACCCGCCTTGAACTAGCCTGAGTCCCTGCGAGAAAGGCTGACTGCAAGGAACGCCCATGAAATGCCAATAATAAAGACCCGCACTCCCCCACCTGCCCGCAGCTGCTGCTCCCTGCGGATCCGTAACCGGTCAGTCAAGATAAAGTGCAACAGAGAGAAGACCTCCTCTGCACAGGGCGGGAGACCGAGTGGGCTCCGCAGCCTCCCTAGGGGCCGGCCTGGGTGTCTTTCCGCACCAGAAGCTGTGGGGCAGAGAGAGAATGGTCAGAACAACAAAAGAAGCTCTTGCAAAACTGGTATGTGGTGATTGGGGGGTGAAACTTGCTTCGTTTCTGTTGAGACAACATGTTACCCCTTGCTCGGCGACCGGCCGCAGCCCGGCCGAGATGTTAATGGGTCGCCGTTGAGCAACGCTGTTAGACAGGTTGCATCCAGACCTTAACGATTTAAAACCACAGCCGCAGACCGAAAGTCCGAAGGTCCGGACATACGAAAAGGGTGAGCCAGTGTATGCTCGTAACTATGCCAGTGGTCACTTGTGGCTCCCAGCCACTATTACCGATGTTATTGGTACAAGAATGTATGTGGTACGGCTTGCAGATGGGCGCAAGTGGCGTAGGCACATAGACCAGCTGAGGCAGCGGTGGGCAACTGACCGTTCTACCGTGCAGCCGGCTGAGTCCACTGAGGAATTCCCATGGCCTTTAGAAGAGGCAGGTACTGAAGAGCCTGAGGGCTACAGTAGCGGTCAAGAGACAGGGCAGACCCCTAACCTTGAACCACCAGTAACGGACGGGAATGTTCCTGACTCTGAGGTCCCAGAGTCAAACGGAGTGCCACTGAGGGAAAGATGCCCTGAGACGAGTACACCTCGTAGGCCTCAGAGAACGAGACGTGCACCCACCTACCTAAGTGATTACGAGTGTTCATGATGTATTTTGCTTAGGGGGGAGGGAATTGTAATGTATTCATAGCTGCCATGAGTACATTAGGATGTGTGTGAAACATCCCATTGGGAAGCTATGTCAAGCTTCGTCTTGGACAGGGGATTCAAGTCCAAGACTAACGACCCAATCACATTCAAGCAAGCTGCAAGCAGGAACGTTTGTGATTGGTCCTTATGCGCTCAACCTGATAGGTTGATTTGTGTATAGTAGGAGTGGCTACATTAGCCGGGAATGTTTAAATACCGAGCAGTTTCAATGGACAAACTGTTCGGGCTATCAGATGTTGTACCGTGTCGAAGAAGTGAACAAAGAGCTGAATAAACTTGAGTCTTTTGCTGAAATCACTCTCCGACTCATTGTTAAGCGCCGGACTTAACAAAAGCCACAAAGAGAGGATTGCAAACTTCCAGGTGAGTGGATTCCCTGGCATGATACCCCACAGGGGGCCTCCCCCTTCTCAAAACGCAGGCTCCACCCCCACATTCCCAGGAATTTCCCAACCTGGAGTTGGCAACCCTACTCAAAGCAGGTGCCTCCTGAGTTCTTTCCCGCATCCCTCCCGGAGGGGGATCCTCCCCTGACCTGAGCAGGATGTGGCCCTGATGCTGGAGACAGGGAAGGTGGGAATCCACAGGCTTTCCATACTGACACAAGACCACCCCCAGCGCATGAAGGAAGCACAAAGCCTCGCTTGCTCCCCATACTGTGTGGGGGTGGAAAGGGCCATCAACTCGAACCTGCCCCGTAGCCACCCCAGGGTTTTCAAGACAAGAGCTGTTCAGAGGTGACCAAAATTGGAAGGTATTTTCTTTATACTGAATTTTACTCTGCTAAGGTGAGTTTATTTTGTGGCA